CAACTTATTCAGAACAGCACAAAAATCTGAAAAAAAAAATTAAAAATATAAAACATATTGCTAAAGTTAACGTGACTTGGATTTAAAAAAATTGCGAAAAAACTATTAAAAAACAAGAGGAAATAAAAAGATTATCTGCACTCGGATTAAATAAACACTAGTTAATTAAAAATATCGAAAAAAAGAACGACACGGACTCATTTTTGTTGTCAGCCCAAAATGATGTTGACCGTATCTAATCCGGGCCACCTAGTAATATAATATCTTCCCTCATCCGCAAAATCATTAAAAACATTCGTCGTTAACGGAACAACGTGTTGGGGGTGTTTTCCGAAGATTAGAACGCTAATTCTCCACGTCCTGTGCATAAAAGGCGCGTGTTCCTCTACATCGAATATAGTAAACATATGACTTTAAATTACAGCTTTCTCGGCGATATTTATTCACTCCACTCTGTAATGAGCAGTCGAATATTCCGGGTGGTCCCTGAACATTAAGGGAATTCGATACGTATTTTATGGACTACGAAAGTGCAACATTGGTTTGGTCTTTATTGTACTGTATTAGAGGTATATAGAGCTATGTATATTCACAGAGGCGGGTTGGTTTCCCAAAAAAATCCACGGTACTAATCCAATAGTTCCGCCAACAATGGCGTAGGTAATAAAAGTGTCAAAGCAATAGGCGGATCGAATTTCACTGGGGTTCAGGCCCGGGATTATAGCCGTCTGACCTCTGGGCTTCAGACGGAATGCGACGATTTTTTTTGACTTTATGTGTTTGCGTGTGTGGTGTGTGCGTTTCGTGAGGAAGGAGTTGTTTTTACGCGGGTAAATCAAATCAAAGTTATACACCATAGGAAATTACGTTACTTTGAAAATGTCATTTAATATGAGACACCGGATTTGAAGTTATCATAATCGTTACTTATATTTAAAATTTTGGGTTTTAAAAAATTGCAAAAGCAATTTTATTTAACATAATTAATATAAAGCACTCAATTTTAAAATTAAATTACGATTTTACCTATACATATAAATGGTAATGCAATGTATATATTTCTACAAGACCCATGGATCCATATCCCGTTAAAAACGCCCTCATTTTTATTCTATCAGAAATATAATAAATATTTCCGTTGTGTTGATCAACATTTGCTTGTCTTCTACAGTTTAACACGTCTAAGTATTAGTGAGCGAACTTGATCGTACGACATGAATTTTGTATCCAATTAGTTTGAACTGATCACACAACAACTAATGAAGTCCCGAACAGAATGTGATGCCAGCCACAACTTTTACTCACAATTAAAAAACGCAACCTTGAATACTTTGGGTACGTCACGAGAAATGAAAATAAATATTGACTATTACAAAACATCATACAGGGCAAAGTGGAAGGAATAAGAGGACCCGGGTAGAAGGAGAATCTCCTGGTCGGCAAATTGTATGGTGCTACCTCCACGGAGCTATTGAGATGTCCTGCCAATGAAGTTCGAATAACGATGATGATCTCCAACATCCGAAACGGATAGGGCATGAGAGGAAGAAGAAAAATCCAATTAGTTAATTAAAAACAATTTTTTTTTAGGGAGTCAGAGTCGGTATCCAATTTTTTTGGAAAAAAAAGCCATAAATTTCATTTTGTTTTAACAAACAGGAAAATCTAAACACCTCTAGTATACCAGGTGTCCAAAAAGTACGGCAACTCCGGAATATCTCGAGAATTACACAATTGAACAAAAAACAAAAAAATGACTTTAAATATGGAATACACACAAAAATGTTATCAGTCCGACTTTAGTGTTCCAGTGTATTTTTTCCACACCATACTCAATTCAAATTTCAAATCAAAATTTTACAAGAGAAAAGAGGTCAAGCAAACCATAGACCTGACTGACAGAGAAAATATATAGCTAACGGATCAACCTATACCAGGATATTAAAAGCCCTCAGCAACGAAATATTGTGCAATATACACTATGCTGGGTGACTGTCCTATTATATGTTCATGGAGAATGACCTATGTAAAATATTTTTGTATATCAACTTTTTTCGTTTTTTAAACGGAACACCGTGTACATTATTACATTGTTAGATTCTGTGAAACATTCTGGAACTCTTGTATTTGATACAATTACTCGTTTGAACACTTTTATAACGGAATATTAAACTTATTTATGTCAAAAACAAATTTGTTTACAAAAAACTTCACCATGGCCGGCCAAAGAATGCCGCCCATATCTTCTTCTCGTCTTCTTCTTTATATATGGCTTTTGCCTTGTACTCTACAGTCAGAGACGTAGCTCGGAAGATGAGCTCCAGCTTTCATGCCATCGTATGGGGGGGACCTCCAGGAGGCCTGCTCGTTCTTGAGAGACCATCTCCTGCAATTTTCGGCAGTCTGTGGTCATCCATCCGTTCAGCATGATTTCTTAATTGGCGCCTTCTGTTTTGGGACCAAGGACACCTCTTTTGTGGTCGCTCAGTGTGTAGCCTATTATAGATCTTAAAGTCCTCATCTCTGCTGGTCGGATGACTCTTTTTGTTGTCTTATTTCTACAGCGTATATCATAACGGGTCTCATACAGGTCTTATATATGCAAGTTTTATCTTCTATGGCCATAAATGCTCGTAACGCTGGCGCCGAGATAATTAAAACTCATGACCATACAGGTTCATTGTATATGGTCAATTTACTGGGCGCCTTTGATATCGTTAGTGATTTAGATTTTGCTATCGATATCTCCGTGTTGTACTTGGAGGCGATGTTTTCGAATTTAAAGAGCATTCTCTGTAGGTTGCCTTCATCTTCCGATATCAACACATTTATCTGACCCCTTTCCAATCTTGTTTACTTCAGATATTAGCTCATCCATAATCAGAAAATAATAGACTTCAGGCTGGCGCCTTGTCTTATTCTTGTCTCACAACATCAGGGAGTCTTACGCTGTCAAATGCTTTTGTGATATCTATAAAACAATTATACACTGTTTTATTGTATTCTATACTTAGACTTTTCTGCAATTTTTCAAATTCCACTCCAATAAAATAAGCTCTGATGTGACAACTAGTCGTAACCAAAGAATCATATCATCGATGAATTTTGTACTTATTTTCAAAAGGAATCTATGATTCTTACGAGGTATACGAACACTGATAATATGTTTAATACATTGTGGGATCATTTGCTATGGTGCTTTGAAAAATCTAGTAAATAAACGATTTTTTTAAATTAAAAGTGGATTCGATGTTCACAAATAATGAAAGTAGCACTTTTACGCCTACTAGGGAAAAAAGCATGTATTTTATACCGTATTCCGATGAGGAAATGTCGGCTCTAATTCATTGGCTGAAAAACAAAAGATCTTCTGGTATCGACGAAATTCCTATACGACTTATGTTGTGATATTCTAGTTCCGTACTTAACAGCAATCATTAATGAGTCAAATTAGTTAAAAAAGCTCGGTATTCAGAAAAGAAAAGAAAAGAAAAGCAAAGAAAAATAAGTGTAAAATTAAATGGATCCATATGATGTTAACTTGGGCACACCTCAAGGGGGCATTACTTTTTCTCCTATAATTGAACGGTTTACCTGAAATCTTTAACAGTAACTGTCGAGTTTTCATGTACGCGGACGACACGTCAGTAATGTCTTTGTTGCCGTTGAACAGTTTAATAAATTTTGCAAACAAAATCATTTAATTATAAATTTACAGAAAACAGTACATTAGAACTTTACATGACTTATTCTTTAGTTTCTTTCAGAGCACAAGATTTCTTGGCACCTACATTGATGCATCATTGAGGTGGGATCAAGACATAAATAGTGTTTGTAGGAAACTAAGTAAAACATTCTTTGCGATATTAACAATTAGGGACTCGTTTCTTGAGAGGTCACTTTTATTATGCTTCGGTGTACTCCTCAATTTCATACAACATTGCGAACTGGGGGCAAGCTAACGATGCTGAAAGGTGTTTGTACAGCAGAAAAGAATACTTAGGCTAATTTTTAAACTTTCAAACAAAATAATGACGGTTCCTTGTATATACCCATTTAAAATACTGCTAGTAACACACAAAAATAAACATTTACGTAAGAAACGCATTCATGACCATTGTCACTACACCCGTAACAGAGAAAATCTCTTAAAGCCTAAACTGAATCGCATATTTTGTAGATCTTTAGGCTATTCAGGGCCACATTATTATAATATGCTCTCTTCGAGCTTAAAGAGCATTTCTACCAAGCAATTTAAGAAATATGTCAAGATGCTTCTGACAACCAATGCTTTTTATAGCCTAAATGAATTCGAAGTGAATGTTCTAAATAAATGTTGATGTATTTGCATTGTTTGTTATATATATCTTATATGATTATCCTATATGTGTAATTTTATTGTAAGATATATGCACATACTTTTTACATAGCTTCTGGATTCCTCCTGCGTCGCATTTTGCTGAGTCAAACTTGCTGACGTTTCGCCAATCATCCTGTTGGCTTCTTCAGAGCTGGACCGAAGCAGTTTCAGAAGAAGCCAAGAGCATGTTGGCGAAACGTCAGCAATTTCGACTCAGCAAAAACCGATGCGCGAGGAATCCCGAAGCTTTGTAAAAAGTATTACAGTAGCCTGTGAAAATTTTAAAACATTTTAATGTTATTGTTGGTGACGAAACATCCATCGTAATGGGTTTTGTGAATAAATGATCTATCTATCTACGAAGAAACTTAAATTTTCCATTTTATGGGGACCACTTACAAATCCAAAGTCGCACGGCGCCGACCACTCCGCGAACCGCCCCCCATTGACGGGCGACGAACCCCCGCAAACCCATCAGCGATCGAAAGAAAACCAGCCAAAAAATAACCCCGGCTCTATCGTGCCATACATAAGCGACTACCCGCGGACGCGGGACCTCGATACCGACTAAAAGACCGAAATGACGTGGTTTCCTGCCAAAACGTGACCCGCCATACGCGCCCGACGTGATCCCACTTACCTCGAACGTGACTTTTCCCGAAATCCCTTTCTCGACGCCGCCGACGCCGCGCCCCGAAACGGTACGGACCGCGCGAACACTCTGTATTACGACGCCGCCCGGTTTTTGTGCGGCGTAGTGTCGTCCGTTTCTATCGACCGAGATGGATCGCGACGCGGAATGAGGTCTTCGATAATCCGCCAGAGGCCCGTGGGGCAGAAACGCGAGTAGGGAGCGGCGCGTCGACCTATAGGGGGGCGGGACCAATAAGGGAGGGACGTGTGTGGGGCCAGCGACGCGCCACAGCGCCCCGAGTAGCTCCCGTAGCGAAATTTTCCCTATCGCGAGAACTACAACCGGGTATATACCAGTTTGCGTTCAATCTCGAATGCTACTAGATATACGAAGTCTGCGTCTCTATAGGGTTCAGCAAGCATCATTCAGTAATAATCCTGTAGCATGATAAGGTCCGTACTAGAGTGCTCATCCACAGTAAATATATCATCAGAATAGAAAGCATACATGCATACGTCTGTAAAATACCTAATTACGCACCGATCTAGCAATTTAAGAGACTGATGCAATGCACTATATGTTTTAGCCATGTCATATGTAAAGGATCTTTCAAAAATTCCAGAGGTGTGACGTGGAGGGGTGAGCAGGCCTTTAAATCTTAAATTTAAATTGTGAACGTCCGTGCGAAAGCTTATTTTTTTGAAAAGATAGCGTGGAAACTTCAATCTTATAGTTTTGTGATAGAGATTACGTCTATGGAGATATCGTCGATTTTTCATATTAAACCATCGGACTTCCTTCAGTTCATGACTAACCGGCCTGCCGCGTTGAATCCCAAAAATGAATCTTAGACAGTATTTCTGGATTTGTTTGAATCCGTTCTGAGGCAGCCGCTGCCAGACATGGACCATAGACGACATCACAGTGGTTAAAAGGAGATAAAACATCGAATCACAGAGGACCTTTTTTAATGATTGATTTAAAATATTTTTAGAACCATATAAGCATTTTAAATGGGCAATGGTTTTTTTAATACATCGTGTAACGTGACCATTAAATCTTAGCTTATTGTCGAACACAAGCCTCCGTTTTCAGAGACATTCGATATTTTTATTTCAACTAGTTGAGATATTGCCATAGATTTTTTTGGATTTAGATGGAGTGAATGTTCTAGGGACTCCCTGTTAATGATTTCTAGATCATTATTTATGATTTGACAGCTTTCCAAAATTTTATCTCTCGAAAATGAGTAACATCTGCATACATTTGGGTTTTGCGATGCTGTATAAAACTAGGAAACGCGGACGTATATATACAGTGTGGATTCTTCTTTTTGTATCAATTACTTGAGCTTTAAATCTAATCCATATCGGGTGCGAACAAGACTGACGTTTCCTATTGAGCGATTAAAGTCGAATTACGTTTCTAACTCTCCTATAATAAGATCTGCCCGGACATATTATTAATTGTGTTTTTTTAAACGGCATAGATATAGACATTTTTATTTTAGGCCTTAGTTTATTTAAAATCAACGTATATAATTTATTTAAATCTAACCTTTGCTTTCCTTGTAGAAATGAGAAATTTATTGCTCACTTTCTCGTATCACAGAAAGTGCGGTAAACAGTATTTGACTCACGAGTTTATTTGACACGAGCGGAGCGAGTGTTTAACCAACGAGTGACTTAAAAAGTCTACCGAACTTGTTGCATACTATACTTTTTCTACCACCGTTAGTTTTTGGGTACATTTGCGCAAAACAACATGAATACATTCACTGACATGAGCGTCAGAATTGACAAACGTCAAAATTCAAAACCCGTGCGGTAAAATCCCGTGCGTCGGATCCGTGGGAAACGAAACTGACGTAGTAAAGTGACGCTTCCCGCACGCTAGATCGGTTTGTAATTAGACATTTTACATGCGTTTATCATTCCGATGTATCTTTTTAACTGTGCGCGTTAGACAGAGAGAGATGTTATTGGATTTGTCATATAAACAACGGAACAAACACAATTGTAAAACGTTATGTTGTTTATTCAAGTTTTACAATTGACCATTAAGTAGTTTATTTTAATAAAAAGGCTGTAATTGGAAGAAGAATCATCCAAGGATAGAGATTTTAAGAGGATTAAATTTTTAAGATCGTATATAAGAAAAAATTTCTGTGGGAAACCTTAATTATAAATGTCACTTTACTTACCGATAAGTCCACTAGATTTTAAGCGTAGCTTATAGCACGTAGTATTTAATTTATCTGTTATTTCATAACATTTTTCTGTGTATTAGTTTTTGGGTCAAAATTCAAGCCGTGCGGTAAAATTTCCGAAAATATCCGATTGCTCCCAAACCCGTGCGGTAATACCCAGGAAATGTCCGAAGTGGCTCGGGTCCGTGGAACAAGAAACTCGCGTGGTCAAGTAACGCCTGCCGTACTGTGTATATCGGTGTATTTTACAGAAGGGAGTAAAAAAATAGATTTTACAAAAATTAAATCGAAACTGGTTTGCATCCTTGCATAATAATCTCCCAAACAAAGATATTCGCATTAATAAAAAATCAGACATATCATTGCACAAACATCACATCGCCGTTGAATGAAAGTTAGCAAGGACTTGCTTTCGTTTCCAATGCTTAAGATATACAAGTTTTCTTTCCTTGATGGTATTCACTATTTCGTTGTTCTTCATCTTCATTACGATGGATCATAGTCTAACGTTTTGGTCAGTTCTACCCTTATTCTTCTTCTTTTAGGTTGTTGTTGTCTCGCATATTAACTTCATACTTGCTTACAAAATAAATAAATAATAAAATTAATATTGACATTTGGTTTAGTATAAGAATAGATATTAATTACTTGGTCTAAATTCCTTGGGTGAAAGAGTAGCAATCTTACGTCAAGCTACTCGAATTGAATTTTCTTATGGTAAACTAGATTTGAGATTTTTAATTTGGTCAAAAATATTTCCTGACTTACGTGCCTCTAACATTTTTAATTATTCGAAAGGAATTCTTCCATTTGAAACCGTAGAAAGCTTAAAACGTGAAAAAAATAAAATCAAAAATTATTAGTTATAAATTAAGTTTATCATTGGTATCTCACTTTCTTTAGAATTATTATGGAACGTGATATTCCATGGGAACAGAATCGGGAGGACTTCTCAGGCCTATAGTGTTTTTTTCCCAAAAATTTAACTCGTCCATAAACGAAAAGGTGTCGTAAAACTTTGTGTTCAAGGAATAAGCGGAGTGGGCCAAGCATTCCCAGCAGGTATCGATTGTAAGGTGAAGGTGCAATAAAATGCAAAATTACGGGAGACGGTTTTCCCACATTTTTAATACCCTAATCCCCGTTGGCTTATAGTTGTCTTTCTTAAATCACCTTCAATCTAGCTAAAATATAATTTAAAAATAATAATAATAAATATTGTCTAATAGAATATCTTCCAACAACTTATTTACTGTTAAATTATAACAGGTACGCATAGGAAGAGAAAAGACAGGCTAATTCTCATTCAATTAGAGATATAAAAGTGCAAAATTAGTGTATTTTTTTTCATACCTCCGATCTACATCGTATTTAATCTTATTATACTAATAATCTGTCTGATGTCTTCTTCTACTCTGATATCATCCAACTCATCTTTTCTTCGTAAATATTTCATTTTTTATTTAATCTCCCTTTTTTTTTCTTACCTTTAGCCGCGTATTACAATAATTCAACCAAAAAAAAACTTAAATCAAAACTAAAATCAAAAACGATGTACAAAATGTATAACGACAGGATCAAGGCAACAGCGATATGAATTTATATCAATTTTAAGTAAATTGACGCCTTTTTTTGGAGTTTCATAAATAAAAATGCTACATTTGTAATTTTTAGGAAACTAAATACAGAATTGGCTAAAAATATATATACCTACTACATATTTTGCCTTCTCTATCTTTTCTTATTATTATTTGAAAATTAAACTTCTAACGCATTTATATCATGCATTCCCAATATAATGCCACTGCAAAGTGTCATTTTATATTTTAAACTTATTTAAGTTATACAGTGGGTATACGAGTATACCAAAAACCGTCAAAACTGTAAAAATAGTTTTCATTTTAAGAGAAATCAGTGGTGTACTATCAATGTCTGGCAAAATGGACAGTGCCAAATTTCATTAAAAAAAATGTGTTTTATTTTTGAAAACTTAACCATCCTGTATCTTTCTTTTTAAAATAGTCCCAAAAATCAGCCCCCTTAATTATTGCCATTCACTTAGAAAACACCCTGTATACAGAATAAGAATTTCCTCACCCTCCCATTTTATTATCCAAAATCCTAGAATAATATACGCAATAAACAACGAGTTAATCAATGCTAAGCGTCTTTTTATTCGCTGTCGAACGATTTGAAATGTCGACAGCAAACCCCTTCGTGCGATATTTTCCCAGCACTAGCGTCACGCTTATGCGGGAAGAAACCGCGCTGTTCCCTCTCGCACGTTAAGCGGACGACTGGCTCAGATGACGCGTGTCCCCACCACGCGCACCGTCTCGGTATTGGCCGGCTCGGTAGCCATGCTGTCGGTGGTTATCGCGTGGGCGTGGCATTCGCCAACCAATCGCCAACGAGCTACGGCCCCCCTCACGCCACTCGCGTTTTAAACGTATTAAAGAGGTATTAGTTCTGTCTTATCTAACTCGAAACAGGCGGGCGGATCTGCGGAAACAGTTGGGGGGTGAGAACCGAACCAGGTGCCCTGGGGACGTAGTGCATAGGCGTTTAAATTACGTTGTTTATCAAAAAACTGTTTTTTTTTTCGTCTCTGCGATGTACCAAAATTTAACAATTTGATCGCCCTGTATTTCGTAAAGTAAAGTTGCTTAATATCATCGATACTTACTTAAGGAACATACCGGAGCTTTTGGGTGTAGGAAATAAAAAACGTACGTCACGCAAAAAAAAGAACGATTTTATTGTACAACTAAAAGGGGAAAATAAGGATACAAAAATAGACCGCGTTCTGGTATCGCGTGTCGCAGGAGGGCGTGGCCTCGCTTCGTGACAAGTTTTCATTGGTCGAGGTGTGTTAGATTTGAACCGCGCCCCCTCCTACTTGACCAACAGGAAGCCGTGCACGTTGGCGACGAACTTGTCGAAGTTGTCACGGAATTTCAACTTTGGTTCTCGTCCGCATGTTAAGGCCACATCGTCCATCAGCTTGGCGAAGGCCGCGGCCAGTCTCTCGGCAGTCAGAGGATCGGCCTGCATTTGAATCAGGCTTTGCACGAGCAGCTGGTACTCGTCCTGGTAGCAACAAATCAGGCAGTAGATCGTAGTAGAGGCGGCCGTGATCATGTCCGAGTTGATTTGGTAGGACAACGTCAGGTCCATGAGGAGTTTGAGGAAAGGTTTGAGCGCGTGCCCGAACCGAGTGTCCAACGTTTTGTAACGAAACAAGTAACACGCCATACCTGCGAAAACGGAAGTTTCGCAACACTGTAGCACGTTAACATGGAGATTTTTTTTTTTCGAGCACGGTTGATGGTTTTGATTTTTCAGAAAATTTTGTTAGGTCCGTAAGCGGCGATCTTAAAATATTTTTAATGCTGCGACGTTGCCGCTTCTTCGAAAAAGTAGCACCAACAGTTTCTGATCTTTTTGATAAAAAGTTTCTCTGAAAACTGAATTACTTTGGCCTAATTCGTCTTCTGGGGGGCCATGAAATCTTATGTTAAATATTTCATTTTCCGTTTGACAGTTCAATAAAGATTATCAAATTTTTTTAGATATGAAAAACAAAAAAATACGATTTTCATTTTTGTTTGCGATAACTTCGAATTCTTAAAAGACTTAAGAAAAGGCAATTTTTCTTATCTGATTTTTCCGGATGAAATGATGTTAAATAAGCAAGTTTTTTGCAATAATCCCAGAACGGCGTGAAATGAAATATATAATGAAATACAATTTCAGCGATCACTTCAGAAGGGATCGAAATGTTTGAAATTTTTTTCAAATTCAACCCAAAAACGAAATAAAAATTTTTTGGTTCGTGAAGTCCCATGATTAATTTGAGAAATAATCATATAACATTTACTAATTCTTAACCTCGCACTGACCTTGAACGAAATCCAAAGACGATTGCACGATTTCGGGACCGAAACTCGTCAGGCCCAGTTCGATCGTCCTCAGCAGGGTGGCCAACATTTCCTCGGGCAACACACATATCTTTTCCGGGTATATGTCGTTGATGAGCACCAGGAGGCGGTAGTATCGGGAGCAGAGGTTAGGAAACTTGAGCAATTCCAAGGTCATCAGTGGCATGATGAAGTTGAGACCGAAAAGGGCGACGTCGCTGGCCGTCACCCTCACCGTTTCTTCTTTGTTCGCGTTCGGGCACAGATCGAAACAGTCTTTGGGCAATATGAACGTGAGCAGGTCCAAGACCAGCGCCAGATCTTGACAGCTACCTTCCTCGGCGAACTTTTCGTTCGAAAGACGGTTGGCGTTGCATTTGGCGTACGCTTCGACGGTCGTCAAAGAAGTCTCGTATAACCTGTAGCCGCAACAACCGCAAATATTCTCTTGTTCCATCCAAAATCGGCGCAATAATAACAATACGCGATAATTCGACAAGTGACGTCATTTTTTATTTCTCGTCGGCAAAACTACGATTGTGAAATTTGGACGCGAGAAACGCAATCTGTCGGGCGAAATCGTAACGCTTTTTCGAAATTTCGCGCCTCGGCCCTAGATGGCGCGGCAGGAAAACAAATCGCAGCTTGCCAGACGCCTCCACGTCAATTTCAAAATGCAAACGGTGCGTCGAACAAATCGTCGGTGTTTTAGTGATTCAGTGCCGTGCTTTAGAAAATAACCGAGTGATATGTGAGTCGCAAGGTCATCGATAGAACTACGCGGCGATGCGGTATGCAAAGTATGTTTTTTTTAATCTTTAGGCACAATGTGTACGTTTGTTTCTGAAAAAGTTTAGCCGGTTTTAAAACGTTATACCACTAATTTCCAACGAATCTTGCGCACCTCTTGCTATTCAAAGGCGTCAAGTAGCAAAGCATGTGCTTGGCGACCTGCCCGAACATCTCCAGTATCAGTTGCACCACTACCTGGAAGTCTTTGTAAAACGTAAGGAAGACCGAGAGTTCGGCGAGCACGGGAGCTAGAGCGTTAAATAGCAGCTCCGCGGACGCCATCTGAGTGCCTGAAACGCAACGCCTGACGCAATTAATTAACTCGTCTCTCGATAAAACCCACCCTTGGCGACTCCGATAAAAGCCTCGAGGAGGTCGATCACGACCTTTTGCACTTGTTCCTCCTGACAAATCCTTGCAAAATTCTCCCGACCGAGGAGATTTTTGAACGTCACTTTCAACGGCGAAAGGATCGTCTCGTAATAATGGTTCATTTCTTGCGGATCCGTCAAACACGCCCCGGCTAGAGAGAGACCTTTATACAAACCCCTCAACACGACAGATGGGAAAGTGCCGGGCTCGATACTCTCACAGAGGCCTATCAATTTCGCCATGGTCTCGGTTTTTATTATGTGCACGGACTTTTGCTTGGAGCTGACGAGGTCGCAAAACAAATCGACGGTATCTCTGAGCAAAATGGGCTCCGTGTGGAAGTTGTGGAGGTTCGATTGCACTTTATTGAGCACGAAGGCGACCACTGCCTTGGAGCATTCGGTATCTTGGCCCACGCAGCTTAACAGAACCGGACTGAGCTAAAACGAATCGCTTATTACACAGGAACGCGAAAATTGTTTAATTTAAAACCCACTTCTTGGTAATAGTTCTCCATCGGGAGCAGATAAGTAAGACACCAGCGTCTCAGGAACCACATGATGGTGGACCCGACCTCGGGGCTCATAAATTGACCCAACTTCATCGCGACCGCGACGTCTTCTACCGAGCATAGACGCATTACGTTGAAAGCAACGCGTATGACGTGGTCGCAGTGTTCCAAGTCGGCAGGCGTCGCGGCTCTGCCGTCGACCGCCATCAATGCGCGCACACTCGCTTCCGGCGTACTTTGGCCGGCGTTTCTTTGCCCGATACTGTATTGCATGATATCCGAGGGAATCATCGGGGTTTCGCCCTCGCTTTCCATGCAAAGCAGGTGGCCTGCGATCAATATGGTCCAGTGCAAGTCCTCGAATACGTTATTGAGGGCTGCCGCTTCGTCGAGGCTCATCGCACGTTGCTGCATCAACTGAATCCGAGCGGTGAGTTGGTCCGTACGGGATTCGAGTATTCTGTACAACACGGGCAAAGAGTGTCCCGGAACGCATCTGCCAAACATCCCGACCGTCTGGAGCTGTTCCTTGTACTTGACGCGATCGCCGTCTTCGTGGTCCTCGTCGGCCGCCTGGGAGACGTTCTCGTCCAACCTGGTGCCGTCGGGAGGTCCCAGATGGCACTGCACGTACTTGTTGAAAATCTGAATGATGCAGTTGCGTTGGTTCGCGTCCAGGGAGCTACCGAACTCCTGAAGGATGCCCGTCCACGCCTCGAGCATGTTGTCGAACGCGTCCGCAAAGGACCTGTCCGTGTCGGAATCCTGGAAGCGATTTTATGTAATTCCAAACATAGCCCACAGTAAACGCGATGCCTTCATAGGGGACTACAAAAACTACCCTTTAGGGAAGTGTTCGCGATATTCAAGTTTTGGTGAGGTTTTCACTACGGAATAGGTTACCCCTTCCTCCTTGGTGGCGCCGTCGCAGAAGTGACACGTGAGGCGGGTCAATTCATCGAGCAGCGTTTCCTGCACCGCAGCCGGCAATTTGACGAAATCCTGAATGAAAAATATGACCAATTTGCGGACGATGTTGGACACGCCCACCGACTCTTTGCTTTTGATGGTCACGCTGAAAATATCCGGCGACGTTAAAAGGCGGAGGCCGCGGCGAAGCTGCCGACTCACTTTGAGATGAGTTTGAAAAACGCCATCAAATATGAGTGGAGGTAGTTCAGTCGTTGAGGGTTTTTCCTCGCAACGCCGCCCGTCAGGCTGGCCAGCTGCACGAGGCAAGCCATAGAGTGGTGCGACAGTTCATCGATGTTCCTCACTTTCCAGTAGATTTGGAACATTAGCGGCAATAGGTCCTCGTTATAGATGATTTCCGACCACGACGAGTTCAGTTTCAACGCGGGGGCGTGGTCCGTTTCGTAGACGGACTCGTAGATCCCAATCAGACGTTTGGGAAGTGCACGAAGTTAAGGAAGTTAAGTTAGCACCAGAATGTAAGACACTAAAAACGTGAGACTGACATAACTTTTAAGTTGTAAGGTGTAATAAAAACACTCTTAACTGTCAACAAACAATGATAACCATAGAGAGAAAAATGTTTGAGATTTCGCCAATTGGGTTAAGGGTTATTATCATCCTCTCAAAATGTTCCTTGACGGCCAGCGGTGGCTTTCCGAAATGGATAATGTTTGTCCTGTAAAACCCAAACTTTCTGGACACCATCTTTCTTTATTGCTATACCTAAGTTTGAATCAAAAAGGATATGAAACGCCGGGATGTATCCCCACCTTAACACCCTTTCCGTGATCTTTAGCAGGTGCCGCGCAAGTTGGACAGCGGTATCCGAATAGGGCGGGTCATTTTTTGCTACTTCAGATAACAGATAAATGCAAAACTGGAATATCCGTTTTAAATCGTTGGCTTCAAATTGTTTTTTTGCTACAAAGTGAACCTCCCAAGTCAGTCCAACGTCGGTCGATTTAATGGTGGACGCATACTCCTCCATCAAGTTCGAGATTATGTTGCATCCCAATATTTTCTGAAACAACTTGGGTAGCCAATGTAACGCAACTTTCTTTGCTTACCTTGTCTGGGTCTCCGTTGACTATTAGGTTCTCGACTTCTTGAAGGATAACCCCCCTCTCTCTGCCGCTGTCATCAATACTGGCCCTTTTCACCATGATAGCGATAACCTGCAATATTCTGTCGCATACGTAATGGGGCACCTGATGGCTCGTTATAAAGCGCATTAGGTATTGTCTGAGTGACGTCCTGTCAGTGTCGAGCAAAAACGACCATTCTCTGATAATAGCCTCTTTCAACAGTTCGGCCGCTTCAAACATGACATAGGGATTTTGTGATTTTTCCAAAATCTCGCGGCACATCGCGTAAGGCGATTTACTTTTTCGGAAACCCAGGAATACGGATTCGGCGGCGTGTCTTTGCTCGTTGTTTACTATGTTCGGGGGTGCCTAAAATGCTCGGGTACAATTGGCCGAAGTAAGCTTGACCATATCATAATTACCATGATAATTTGGGCCGCCGCCTCCAATTCCTGAATTATTTGTTCCGACATTGTCAAAGAAATCGGATTTGGTTCACATTAAAAACCAAATCGTCAACTAACTGAAAACAACACCTCTAAGGTTAGGTTGACCGTCATCTGCTTTTAAAAAAGAACGTCAACATGTTTTACTTTTATGGTAAACCATCGACATTTGTTATCCTTTTTATCTTTGGTGGAAGTGTGCAAAATAAGTTTAAGGAGTATGTTTGTTTATCCGTTTATCTTAGTGGTTCTCAAAGTAGTCAGGGTCCACTAGAGACTCGGGTCTTTGTTGGCGTGACAAAAAATATTATGGAATATGAATATACAAGTCTGGGAACGACTTGTCTATCTTATAAATAAAAGATTAAAAATACTGAACGCTTTTGCCCCTCTATGGTGTTTAATCTGGATCCTAACAGAAAGAAGTGAGATTTTCCAGACTGATGGAGTGTAACTTACCATACGTAAGTCTATGGTGACCACGGATGATAGAAAGTCCTAACCTTAAAATGTTATCCCGAAATGTTTTTAAAGAATATGAACAATTTCAACGTATATTTAACATCCCTCATAGGATTCACCGCGATAGTAGGCGATCTTTTCGTAACCGCAAGCAACTTGAATTTATTTCGAGCGTTATTCGACAACGCGACTCACGGCGTTATCGGGGGCCTGAGTTGGCTCGTCTTCGCTCTAAATAGCAAGCTAGCTAACGCGAAAGTAACATCATTAGAAGTGCTTTTGTGCGCGGTATTGTCGTCCGCTATAGACTTGGACCACTTCGTCGTGGCGAAATCGCTACTCCTAAAGGTAGTTATCTAAAAATGTTTTTACCAGTTCTTGCGAAGATTTACTGGTTTTTAGGACGCGACGAATCTCACTCGCAGACCGTTCTTACATTGTTCGACGTTTCCGCTCTCAGCTTCCCTCATCCTCTTGTTGGTGAGCTACCTGCTCAGTGCGCCATGTATCAAACGGATATCTCTAATGACGCTAACAGCGTTCGGCTCACACCACATCCGTGATGCTACAAGGCGGGGTTTTTGGTTTTATCCCTATGGTTCAACCCCCCCCATTCCTTATATGATTTACGTCCTTTTAACTTGTGTTTGGCCATATTTCGTGTTGTTTGTGAACAGTTACATTGTAGTTGGTTCTCAGAATTATGAGAAATATACGGCTGTTATATGATATATTTTGTTAATAGGTAGTAAATAAAGTAAGGACAACCATTTCAGGAATAACTATATTTAAATAATGGAAAAAAGCAACAAAATAAGATATCACAGGTTGTTCTAATATTAAAAATATGTTTAGACAACACCAACAAAACAAAAAGGGATCTCCAGTTAAACAGAGTCAACAATATTCTGAGGAACATCTAAGATGCCAATAATGTAATAAATCAAAAGTAATCACCACGATAATACATCAAAATGACGGAAACACAAAAAAAAAAGTCGTTTACAAAAATGCCCTAACTACAAAAATATACAAACATTTTGTGAGGGTATTAATAAACCTTTTTACATGTTTCCTTCTTTTTGCTCTATCGGGAACATCCACAAAGGGAGGTTTGTCCATGTTCCTGAGATGCAATCCCAATATTACCTATCATATCACCATACGATATAAACGCGCTGCATCATACCAAAACCATCTACACACTTTTTTCTGCCTCGATATTTTGTTATCACAAAAACAATTTAATAAAGTTACATTCTAATTTCTTTAAGTACCCTAAAGTATACCTTTCACCAAGGACACTCGACAAACGATCTGTTTAGTGCGCTAAAAGCAACAGAGAGATTGCTAATTGACACTACACTTGAATGTACATGGGGGAATTCCTGTTGACAATCAAAAAACTGCCACTACCTAAACACCATACAATGTAATTGAACGTTTAAATTACGCATCGATCGATTTTTGTACTACTTCAAATCTAAAACCCTAAAAAATGACTTTGTCAACCATGGCGGATTAGGCCTTGATGTAATATAACAATACTTTGTTTGGGATAGTTGGATAGACTTAACCAAATTCAAAGCCCAAACTATTTAGAATAAACCTTACCAATGGGAAACAATATATTCTTTACAGGAATATGCTAGATACCTATTTAAAGCTAAAGGTTTAGTTTTGAAAAGTTTTAAAACAACCGGAACTTTTACAACCGGCATAGGTTTGCCTAAGATTTGAATGGTAACAATTTTGACCAAAAATTGAGCTTACACTTTGTTTTCTCTATGTGCTTACCTTAATTCTATATTTAAAAGAAATGTCTACCCTTTGCCAGGTAACATTCCCTTTTATAAATGGCAAAAGAATCGTTAAAACTAGAATGGCTGTTTCAAATGTTTTTCACGAAATAGTTACAAGTGTATGAGCATAAACATTCGAATAACCATTATAATGTGGCAATATGTAAGGTGCACGTTCAAAGTTACAGGCAATTTTTAGTCTCGTTGGTCAAGTGAATGAAGGGCCTCGCTTATCGCTAATCATCGCGACATTCGGTAATTCTAACGGAAAATCGGGCATCTTTCGAAGTGCCCCAGATCAACTTTACCAACAAGCATATATTCGTCACTTGCTCCGCATAAATACTGATCCGGTTTCACTTTTCTTCAGCGAGGACGCCGTTCTGCTAACTTTTGGTCACCTCTCCGACGGTGTCGCCGGACGTGCTCTGTTTCGTCGTCGCGTCATCTTTACCATCCGCGGGGAGCTCGTTCTGCGTCAGCAGCATCGACAGCGCTTCCAGGCTCTGCCTCACCTTCGAAATTTGACCTAGGTTCGAATCTAGCAAAGTATTCACGGCATCGGCCGATTGGGAATGCAGTTGGGCTTGCCACTTCAGCACCTCGCCGTAGATGTCACGGTTACCCTCGTTTGCTGGGTTCTCTTGCAATGACCATGAAAATCTGGAAATACGAAGGTGTTCTGTTAAGCACATTTTGTGCGAGATAGAGAGAGTGATACTGCTGACAGGACCAGGAGACGTAGTCAGATCAGAAAGGTATACAGAGAGAGGCTGATCATATGCAAGAAGACCTCCTGATGGAAAGAGAATATAAAAAGTTTTTATAAGGGACAGGAATACAAATTTTGGTGAGAGCAACCTCAGTAATGGTTTTTTGCTGCCAGTTTCCATTTTGGAAGTTTTTGAGCCACAGTATATGGGCAAATGATCAAGATGAGATTATTTATTTATTTATTTATCAACGGGACGAGATATATAAACAAAATTGTAAAAAACAAAATAAATAAAAATTAAAACGTGATGAAATAGATAGATAAAGACTTAACCCTAATATGACAAACAGTGGTTTTCCAAAATATTAATATTAGGAGTCGACACGACAGCAAGAACGAATATAAGAAGTCTATCATCGGAACAGTTTCACTGACCGTCTTTTCTGCACTCTGGAAGCACTCAAGTTGGTCCGAAAAGCGATTTGCTAGTGCGATAGTTAATACGATGGAATTCTACCTGGAAGGATTGGTTTATTCTCGTCTGGCGGGAGAACATAACAGTTCGAGTGATAAATATCGTAGGAACCTATGCTGCACTCTTTCTATGCCCTGTATGTGGACGTTATACGAAGGAAGGGCTATATATAGGAACAATAATGCAGGTGTGGACGCACGAGGGAGCAGAACAGTAATTTGAGAGACTGAATACTCTGGAAGTTCCCTGCACAACGCTTAATGAAGCCCAAAATATGAAGCGATTTAGACACAATAGATGAAACATGGTGTGTGTAAGTACAGCCTTTGAAAAGTCTGTGTAAATGGCATGAACGTGAGACCCCTTTTCCAATGATTGCGGCAGAAAATCTGTAAATGTAAGTTTAGCCCAGTGAAGCGATGGGGGAATCCAAAATGTTGGTCGATAAACCAACCTTTCAGACCAGCAGATAAACGTACAGAATACAGCCAGGATCCTGATGGGCCTATAATTGTTGACTTGCGAGTTATCGCCGGATTTTAGGATAGGGGTAATGAAGGTTGATTTCCAGTTAGTTGGAAAAGTTCCCGTTTTTAACGATTGGTTAAAGATAATATAAGTATATTGAAAATATCCTCACCCACGACCGATCGAATAAGTTAGTCAATAATGATGCCGATTAATTAAAAGCTTACCTGTTTTGTATTTTATTTATCCGGTACAACAAGACGGCGGCGGAAAGAAACAGCAAGATCAGAAGAAGAGTGGTAGCGACCAGTATCAGGTTCTGCCTAGGCAGCTTCCTAAATTCGGCGATGGCCTCCTTCAGGGTGCGGACGAAGCCGCCGGAACCTTTCCTCTCGAGCGCCGATCCGGAGACTGAAACAGGAAGGTTTTTGTCAACGTTGGAACTTTTGAAACTGTCAAAGACGTGAACCTACTGTCGGTCTGACTTCGGTTCTCCTTTTCCGCTTTCCTCATCAGCGCGAACTTGGGCGACGGCGACGACGCGACCTCAGGCACGGGAGAATCCCTACCGCTTTCCCCGGACTCGGACGAATCCGCGTCCTCCGGGTCCATTTCCGGTTCCGGAATGATTTCCTCGCTCTTGGCCTTTTGCCATACGGTCCGCATGTAGGCGAGGGTGCTGTCGCGTGTCATCAGGCTACCGAATATGTGCTTGTCTTCGCCAGTTACCACCCCGATCGCGTTAGGTATGATCCTCGCCGTTTTCTCTTTGGTGATGTCCTCCACGGTCAGTATCGGTATCAAGAGCTTAGTGACGTAGCCGAAGACGTTCGAGTAGAACGCGAAGTAGTTCTTGGTGATGTAGAGGTGACCCTGGAGGAGGATGTCGCCGATGAGGGCGCACGAGTAGTGGTTGAGCACCTTCTCGTCGTCCTCGACGTTGGGAAAGTGCCTCAGGAACTTCTTCTGTCTGCCCTTGGACGTGGTGTGCACCTTGGGATCTTTGGCGGCCTTCGGGCTGGGCGGCTCGTTCAGCTGGCCCTGGGCCGTCATTATCGGCGTACTCGTCGATAGGTGTTTCAGAGAAGTCCTGCGGAATAAGGGCGATCGCCTCTGTTAGGCGTTTTCCGAAAAATTTTGGACATCGGCATGAGAACAGAATCGTGGCAGTAACGGTAAATATTAAAAGACGTGAGAGAAATAGGAGTAATTTTTTAAAAAATGTTTACGTCAAAATTAAAGTAGATGCAACTTCGAATATCGACATGGTGAAGTGGTGGTGGGCGTTATCGAGGAATCCTATCTAATATGTCACGCAAAAATTTCACCGTTGTTTCACCGATCGCGATTAATGAGAGCGTGACGGTATTGGCTTACCATTGATCATCGTCGTCCTCGCTGCTAACGCTAGAGCTATCGTATTCCCCGGGGTATCGATCTTCGATCGATAACGGTCGATCTAAGCGAGGCATGTTTGTCGCCGAGGTGCACATTTATCGACCGATTTAAGATATCGTACTAAATTGTTTTAATCGAAAACACTCCAAGCTTTTATATTGGACCTGTAGCGTTTTCCGATAATTTTTCGTATTTTAATGATATTTCCAGTGATAACGCGTGGTAGCGGAGATTGATGTTAAGTGTATCTGTGTGTGTGTGTGTGTGCGCGCATATCCAATAGCGGGGCCTGCGGGGGCTGTTATCGCCACCGATGGGATTCCTGGAGATGATAAGGAGGCGATGCATATGCGGATTAGTGTCGAGTTTAACGAACCGAATCCCGAATTTTAATGATATTTCCAGAGGTACACTAAAGCAGTAACGTAAAAAAGCTGGGATTGGGATTTATCACCCGTTCCGGACTCGGACCGGGAAAGTTAGTCTTGCAAAGAGTCATTTTCTCACTATTCAGTCGCATTACAATCTAGAGATATCGATACGATCGGATGGACAACGTTCATTTATTTATTTATATATTACAGTAATCAACAAAAAAAAGAACACGTGCATAAGCCACAGAGATTCAAGAGTTTTAAATATAAATAATATATAAGAATAAATATAAAATATTGAAATTGGGAGGGGGGGGGGTCTGGGAGGTCGGAAAAAAATAATTTCTCAAAAACTGTTTATGCGATCCAAAAAATTATGGAACGAGAAGATCCTAATAAACCTTCATTCTTTATAATTTTCAAAAATGTACATGGTGTGCCCGGTATTCGCAAACAAAACTGAAAATTCCTCTTTTAATGAAAATTTATTTTTACCTATTGTGCATGGTGTTCGCGATATTCTGTGCACCATTACAAAACGTAATACGCGCCCTAAATTTGCAGCTACCGAAAATCGCTATTTCTCGCATTCGATACAGACGCGATGACGTCATTTAATATTACGCATAGTTTCAGAAAAGAATTATTTTCTCGAAAACCATTTGCTCTATTGGAAAAATTCTATATCTGTAGCTACGACCTTTATTTTGAATATTTTTCGAATTATATACAGGCCGTTTCGTTTATGGGCAAAAATTGGAAAAAATCTGGAAAACTTCTATTTATGTGGCTGGAAAAAGATAAAATAATTTGGTTTAAACTGTGTTCAGAGCTACAATTTTCTGATTTACAGTTCTTGTCCATTATACAGGGTGCGTGAGATATTTCCATAAAAATATTATTGTAAATCGCTATAAAGTTTGCCATGGGTTTGAATTTCGACGGCCGTGAAAGGCACTTCATACAGGGTGTGCTCATAATAAAATTAAAAATTGGAAAAGAACAATCGATTCCGTCCCAAAGCAGTTTATACAAAAATATTGCTTCAATACTCTTGAGTCAAAATAACATAAGGCACATCAAAATAATAAATATCATGCTTCTAAGAACAAAGGTACCTCAAAAATTTCTTCACAGGTTTTGATTTTTTGCTGATTGTCATGACATAACACTTACTGATATTGAAATTTAGTTTATTTGATTCTGATAATGTAATTAATTAACTGTAACATTTTTATATTATATTTATTACATTTATACATATTATACTATTATACGCCGTCCATTTTGTGATATTTCTATGCCTTGCAGGTGTAGAAAATTGCTATTATTTTTTTAATGTAGTTCCACCTGCAAATATTCGTAAACTTCTACTTACTTATCGATTTTATTGAAGACGGAATGGCTAGGGCTTCGCTGGATGGAAGGACTGGCGGGGGGCTCCGGGAGCCCCGCGGGGGACGCGCCAAGTAGACCCTGCGGCGTCGTCGGAGCGGACCGGGGCCCAGCGCTCCCGAAATTTCCCGACGACCTGGAACAATTTAATTTAATTAAATTAATTAAAACAATAATTACCAAAAATTAATTAAAATAATAATTTTTTGCTTTTTTTAAATGTGTATACTGTTCGTTCTCGAACGTTCTACCGCCCCAAAGGCGCACGTAAAAGAAATATGTTTTATATTATTCTCCTTAAAAAAATCCAAAAATATTGTGCAATAATTATTTTTCGATTTCTCTTATTAAAAATGTAGGCCTTATTGAATCAATAATTTCTCGGGTAAATGTAATTGTGATCGGTGTGTGTGTGTGTGGGGGGGGGGGGGATACTCTTCGCTTTCGATATTACCGGTGACGAATATATTAAACAATGGCCACGGGTCGATATTTCAATTGTTTGTCAGAGCCTGGCGTTTTAATTGTGCGGAAGTTTTCTATACAAAGCGAAGCTACGTAAAAATAATGAATTATAAACCGCAGAACCTTATTTAATTTAATCGAACCGTATTAAACTTTATTTTTTTAAATAATTATTACCATTTATTAAAAATCTTTTGCTGTTTGTCCTATATGTACGGATTTTTTTTTAATGTACATTCTTGTAAATTAATTAAATTTATTACTTTCAACTTGGGCACTAAAACAAATAAATAAAATGAATGTTGAATAATAAATAATAAAAAAATATATTTATTAAAAATCTTTTGCTGTTTATTCTATTTCAATCATTTTGTTTCTGTTATTGTACAAATTCTTGAAATAAGTTTTTTATTTTACTACTTTTTTACTTTATAACATATTCAAAAAAAAATATTTAGGTTTTACTTGTGCTGCTTGGTTCATTTTTAATTTTTTTATTTTCAAGTTCGGCACTAATATAATAAATATAATTAAAATTAAGTTTACATTTATTTTTAAAACATAATTCAATTTGGAAGATTCTGAGCGGGTTATTTCAAGAAATTTTTAATTTTATAATTCCGCTTACTTTATTGGTTAAATACTAAGCAATAAAATATTATTTAATTTTTTTTATTTCTCTTCTGTTATAGTGGGGCTTTTAAATTTTATGATTTTTTTTTAATTTTGTTACTTTCAAGTTGGGCATTAAAATAATGCTAATTAAAATAAATTTTAATTTTATTATTAAAAAAATATGTGATCTGGTTGCTAACATTTTGAATAATAGGTGGTAAAATATGATTTATTAAAAATAAAAATCTTTTGATGTTTATTTTACTTGAGGGTCCTCTAATATTCAGCGGATTTTTTGAAGAAGTTCTAAAATATATATATATTTTTTAACTTTATAATATACTCTTTTGTTTTATTTTCATTTGACTTGTACCACTCAATTAATTTGATTTTATTGTTACTTGGAAGGTTCCGTGCGTTTTATTTAAAGAAGTTTTCAGTTTTATTACATCCGCTTAATAAATTAGTTAAATTAATAAGTAATAAAATATAATTTATTAAAAATCTCTTACTGTAGTTGAATTATTATATTATTTATTAAAAATTTAAATTTTCTTATTTTTGTGAATTTTGCAATCCAACCAAGTAGTTTAGACTTCCCGACTTGTTTTACGAAACTGACAAAAAAGGAAATTAAACTCAAATGGTTGCCGAACATTCGATGAATTTGACTGACGGTCAAAGGATTGTTTTTCAATTTTTATTGGAGCGTTGTTTGCACAAACATGACGGTCGGTGGCGGCCGGTCGTTTTTTGTTTTTTTTAAATTGGTCAAGGTCGTTGCGCGTATAACCTAATAGCTTTATAATCGTTTCAATTTGTTTTCGTTAGCGAAAAAAAAACCCGCTTCGGACCAACGACACAAAAAACGAAAAAACAAAGGAAACGAGCTTTTAAGGGACACGAGCAAACCGTATAATTCCTTTCGTTGAATTATTTTAATTTAATCGATGGCTGAAAAAGAAAGCGATTAATTTAATTATTAAATTATATTCGATATTCCGAGGGGGGCGGGGGGCGTAAAAATGGTGCCGTCGTATTGATCGCGCGTTAAAGATATCACTTGGATTAATCTATTTTTAATATTTTTCGCCGTGTAACTTTATATCGATTTTTTAAGGAAAGTTGAATATGTTTTTGATTTCTTCAAATTTTTGCCATTTTTTAACATTTTAAATATTGTATAAATTAACTAAAGCTTCCTGTTTCCGGTCTTCACTTTTTGTCAGCTTTTCAGCAAAATAAATGCCAAAAATATCGAATTGTTTTTGCTCACCAAAAATATAATCTTCATTTAGCATAAAAATAATATAATAATAAAAAATACAACATATAAATTCTAAACATAAAATTCCAGATAAACGGAAACCAAACGCAAAGCACAGATGTCAAAATTTGGACAATATATGGCGTCTTAAATTTTTTAAAAATTTATTGAGTATCGCAGTTTTTAATACCATGCGGTAAATTGTTAAAATGATTTAGGCCTTTATGTAATATAGAGTTTTGTACTTGACTAGAATAACATTCTCTCAACATAAAATTGCCACAATTTCTTGTATTGTAAGAATGAATATCTCCGAAATAGGTAACTTTTTCACAAACATAATTGTCCACACTGCTGTTTAATTTACAAATAAATACATAGACATTTAAAATTACTTTTTGTTTTACAGACAAGATATTAAGAACACTCAATATGCTTTGAAATGGCTTATATGTTACATTTTAGTATATTTCTCATGGCCCTATTGTACAATAAGATTTTGGTGTCAATTGACAAATTTTTCCCTATTCTAGATATAAAATTAATCTTTTTATTCATTATGAAATCGGAAAAATACAAAATTTTGACTTGTCCGTGTTTATACAAAGGTTATTATTGCACAGCCATTCAAAAGCTTTGTTCAGATCGGCATTCTTTTTTCTTTGCATTTCATCCACATTTTCACCCACAATAAAAATCATAGTGTCATCCGCAAATAATACCGCTTTAGTATCATCTAAAATAGTTACAATATTGTTTATATACATAAGAAACAACAATGGTCCCAAAACTGTCCCCTGAGGAACACCATGTTCTACAGTTATGCAATCAGATATGCAATTTTTATAGTTCGTTTTTTGTACCCTATCTGTTAAATACGAACAAAGCCATTTATACGCTGTTCCCTTAATACCCATTTTGTACAATTTTCTTAACAGTCTAGTTCTACTTATTGTTTCGAAAGCACGCTTAAAATCCAAAAACACAAATTTACTATCCTCCAAGGCCCTCATGAAATCCTCACAGACAGTAACAACAACAGATTCACATGAATGTTTGGAGCGAAGATTAGACACTAAAATATTGTTTATGTCACAATAACTTTGCGGCTGCTGTTTCACCAAAATCTCAAGAACCGTCTCATAAACTGGAACGGTATTAATTGGCCTAAATTCTTGACATAGATTGGCGTCGGGAACCTTCTGTACAGGTATCACCGTTGATCTCTTCCATGCCTCCGGAATAATTCCACTCGTAAGGGGTGTGTTCACAATGTCCAACAATTACACGGGCATCAATCAATACACTCTTTGAGATACCACATTCATTACCATTTGTTAGTTGTGGTCTTAAACTGATCTATTTCTCCATAAGTTGGTATGTTATCAGTGATATCATTCACACCCTGGGATGGAGGAATGCCAGTCAAAATATTTTTAACACTGTCTATAAAATACCCATTAAATTCATTAGCTATGTCTTGCTTAAGTGAAACAATTCGCTGGCCAAACTGCAACTCATCGGGAAGAATACCTTTTTTATTTGGAATTAGCGTTTTTTTAAGGCAGCTTACAATTGTTACAATTTTGTTCAAGTACCGCTTTTTTATACAAACAGTCTCTTGAGTAGTAAATTTGGAAAAATTATTGACTAGTCGTCCTAATATGAATTATGGACACAAAAAACTCTATTTCGTTTTGGCTTTTGTTGATAACTTTTTATGGGTCATTCAGGAAAAAAAACACAAAGGGGTTTAAATTGTTTATGTTTTCTTCAAAATTTGCTGTTTTGTAGTACTATTCAAAAAATCCATTAGAATTTTTTGATTACTCGTTCGAAAAATATCATAAATTCACATAAAAAAACGCTTTTCAATTTATAACAAATTGAATATTGAAACAAAACAAAAAGAAGGCGAAGCGATTTTTTAATTTTTTTTAATGAAGTTGTACTCAAATTCAAGTTCGGTAAAATCGAGAGACGACTACGCGACAGTGAGATTCCTATCATCTGCTTTCGCTGGTTGATCAATATACAGATGGTTCCGGTCGCATCGAAATCCGATCCGAATTTCGATCTTCTTTTGTTTTTCCCGTTCGTCGATCTCTCTATTTTTAGCCGTATCCGATCGAGATAGTGCGCGATCACCGTCATATAAAATTTGCACGGTCACTATCGCAGTTCGCTGTTTCCACACGGTATAATGATAAACTAATTCGGCCTTGCCTAATAGACTCTTTGTCTCGATGAATGAGCTTTAATCGTTTCCGGTTTCCTGTCGCTTTAAATACCGAGCGTTTTTGCATTCGGGTCGTACAAAGTGCGCAATCTTTCCATTTGCGAGTTTTTTAAGTCGTGTCAGAAAATGTATAAACGACTTAGTAAAGTGGCGCTTAATGGACTGGACTGCGAGTGTGTTCCTTAACCCGTACGTTAATGCACCGCCTATTCTATGATTTTTTTTGTAACGTCCAGGAAATATTTTTGCATATCCATTTAGAAATTTTATTATCACTACTAAAGGACATGAAACCGTAGAAATCGCCAATTTGTGTGTAAAGGAAAGATCCTTATATATGACTTCAAAAGTTAACAAAAGCGGTACATAAATTTGTTTCACATTTTCAAGTAAATCCGAAATAGAAAAAAAATATTTTGGATTTGTATTGCCATTTTTGTTAAGTGTATAGCATGTAGACCACATCGCAGAAAACATACATTGGAAATACTATATTGATTGTGCTTTATTTTTTGAAACATATTTACTGGTGCGTGAATGCACCACAGAC